GAGAAGGGATTGTGGCGTGACCATCCCCCCTGGGGGGGGATTTCTCGCTTTCTGTCTCTGTCTGTCTGGTGAGTGCATGCACCCTATAGTGAAAAAAACCTCTCCAAAAAAAAAAAAAAAACCCACAAAACAAAACCAAATATAAGGGTGGTCACAAGTAAGGCCTGTCACTGTCTCATAGGAGTACGGCTCAGGTTCTCTGATCTCCTTGGCCTGGAAGAGGGCAGTCAGGACTCGTCAGATGAGCATTACCTTCAGGATTTGGACAATGCTCTGCTTGTTGAGAAAATAAAGCCAGCAGCAGCTTGCTGTCAGGTACCTCGCCTCACCTCTGAGATGCTAGGGAGTGAGGAGGAATAAATGTGGTGGTGTTTTCGTCTTCAAATGATTTCCAATTATCTCAGGATATTCCTTTTGAAAAACAGACTGTATGGGACCAGCAAATGGCGTAATTGTTATATTGTTGGACTCTCACATGGCTGATGGCGGTTCAAATCTCAGACCTAGCAGCTTCAAACTCACGCTGGACATGTGTGTGTGCATGCCCAAAATTCTGAAAGAATGGAGAAGGCATTGTGGCATGACGATCCCTCCAGGGGGTGATTTCTCACTGTCTCTCCAGTGAGCACATGTGCCCTATAGCAAAACTCTTTTTAAAACATTGGGTTGTACGTGCAATAAAAACGCCGTACTGTGAGGCTGCACAATCTAAAGGAAGGACAAGGCCCCTGAGCAGTGCAGATCTAAGGCCTTACCCTTGGTTGGAGCAGTACTCCCCTGGGCCAGCTGGCGGCAAGGCGTAAAGGTGGTCTGACCCACAATGGTTGACCGAGCAGTGCAATCCTGGACCCAGAGGCCTGGAGAACACACTGGTGTGCATGCATGCATGTGTGCCCAAAATCCCGAGGAGAGACAGAGAAAGGACTATGGGTGGCCATGCCCCCTGGGGGGTGACTTCTCACTTTCCCTCTCTCTCACTCTCTCTTGCTCGGAATTCACCCTATAGCAAAAACAAAAGCCAAAAAAGTAATACTACCTATATTGTCACACAATCAAATCAACAAAGCCTAACCAATTCAGAAAACATTCTGTAAATGAATACTCGTCTTAGAAACACATATCAGCACATTAATTTGTTTTTAGAGAAAATTTATTCGCTCATTTATTTTAATTTGATGAGAGAGAGAGAGAGAGAGAGAGAAAGCAACCCACCAGGTTCAGGACTTGAACAATGTGAACAATGGCCGGCCATGTGGGAGTGTCCAGCACCTCAACCACCATGTCACCTGCTGGCCCCTAGCACATTAATTTCTCTTCATAGAGCTTACCTTCTAGCATTCTATGTGTCCTTGACAATGTAAAGATGGAAAACAATTCAAAAGTATAAAGACAAAGAGGAGAAACCTTTTTGCAGCCAAACCTTTGCGTGGCAGGATTCTGCCCCAATTCTGCACACTCCTGCTGAGTAACTGAGTAAAGGTTTTTGCCACAGGGCGCATACATAAGACAGAGAGGGGAAAGTGAGAAATCATCCCAAGGTGCAATCCCCTTTCCTCCATTCTCTTAGAATTTTGAACATGCTTGCACATGCACCTGGCATATTTTAAGCTACCAGGTCTGGGATTTGAGCTGTGATCAGCCATGTGGAAGTTCAGTGCCTTAACCATGACACTACCTGCTGGCCCTTGGGGTAGGACTCTTAAGGAAGAGTCTCACAGGTGCGGATTTTAAGAGCAACTCTGAGCGCCTGCCTTGAGAAGGACATTATTTACTGCAGGACTTCCTCCCGTTGCTCTCAGGCCTTCAGAAGGGGCGGCAACAGACAAAGATGCCCAGAGACAGAAGACTGTGTGGACCTACTGAGAGAGGCCCATGTGTCTGGAGGAGCACCCACGTCTCTGTGCTGGTCAGCTTAGTGATGTTTACACGGGACACAGAGCTGTGAGCAAAGGGCAGGAAAAGGCCCCATACAAGATAGAGACTGAGCTGTTAGAGAACTCCTCTTTGAAAGGCATGAAACTGGAAAAGGAAGGAGGGGAGAGGAACACACTTACCTATTTTTAAAATTAAAAAAAAAATTTTTTTTTTTTGAGAGGTTTTTGCTACAGGGTGCATGCACTCACCAGAAAGACAGAGAGATAGAGACGAAAGCGAGAAATCACCCCCCAGGGGGGATGGCCATGCCACAATCCCTTCTCCTCCATTCTCCTCTCGGGATCTCAGGCACGCACGCACAAGCGCCCGGCGTGAGTTTTAAGCCACCGGGTCGGGGACTCAAACCGCAGTCGACTACATGGGAGTCCAGCGACATAGCCATTATGCCATCTGCTGGTCCAGCTTGAAAATCATTATGGGTGCGTAGGTGTATGTGAGCAAAATCCCAACAGGAGAATGAAGGGATTGTGGTGGGACCAGCAGTTGGCATAATGGCTATGTCACTGGATTCCCATGTAGTCGACTGCAGTTTGAGTCTCAGACCCGGTGGCTTAAACTCACACCAGGCCCATGTGTGTGCATGCCTGAGATCCCGAAAGGAGAATGGAGAAGGGATTGTGGCATGGCCATCCCCCCTGGGTGGGGGGGTGATTTCTCGCTGTCTCTCTCTCTCTTTCCAGTGAATGCACACGCCCGCCCTAGAGCAAAAACCTCTCCAAAATTTTTTTTTGCTATGAAGTGTGTGCACTCCCTGGAGAAAGAGAGCATGCGTGTGAGTGAGTGCCCTCTGGGGGGATGACCACCCTGCAATCTCTCCTCCATTCTCCTCTTGAGGTTATGGACATGCACGCACATACCCAGTGTGCTTCTCAAGTCACCAGGTCCAGGACTCAAGTCATGCAGTCGGCTATGCGGGATCTAACTGCCTTAACCACTAGGAAATCAGCTGGCATCCCCTTTCTTTTCTTTTCTTTTTAAAAGAATTATTTTATTTATTCATTAATTTTATTTGAAAATTAAAAAAAAATTTTAATTAACCTTATTTATTATTTTAATTTGATCAGAGAGGGACAGAAAGAGCGAGAGTGAGAGAGAGAGAAAGAGAAAGTGAGAAAGCAAGATGCCAGGTCCAGGACTCGAACTGAAGTCAGCCATGTGGGAATCCAGCACCCTTAACCACCACACCACCTGCCGGCCCCTTTATTTAAATTTGACAAGAGAGGAGAGAGAGAGAGAGAGGAAGTGAGGAAGCAAGCCACCAGGTCCAGGAATCAAACCATCGCTAGCCATGTGGGAGTGTCCAGCGCCTTAAGCACTATGCCACCTGCTGGTCCCACCCCCTTTTAAGTAGGCCGAAGGCTGCAGCTGCCTCACTGAGGTGAAGAACAAGCAGCCTGCTGCACATCTGCTCTGGAAGCTCTGTCGTTGCTGTCTGGGCCCTGCCCTTTCCCTGGAGCCCCTCACTGGGTGTTGCCCGCTCTGACCCGGTCCTTTCTTCTCCACTAAGCTTCTCTACCTGACAGATCTGAACAAGTGCCACCCTGCCACGGACACCCGCGTCTCTCCCAGCTCCTTCACTTGCCCAGCAGTCACTGGACCAGCCTCCGCAAGGGACCTGCCCAAACCTGCTGTGCTCCCCTGTGGCGCCCTCACCGTCCATCAACCACCTCGTGCTTTTTGGGGCCAAATCCAAAATCATAAAGATGTCCTCGGCTCTCCTCTTCCCTCACTCCACGCCCAACCCAGGAGTTAGTGCAGCTGCCTCTTGTTTCAAAACATGCCCAGAATACACCCCACCCCTACCGGTACTGCCCAAAGCCTCTGGAACAGCTTCCCCGGCTTCTCCTTGCTCCCTTACAATAAATTCCAATCAGCTACCAGGGTGACCTTTGGAAACTCGAGGCCAAGCAAGAGCCCCAAGAGCACCCATGGGAAAGATGTACATGGGGCCCAGTGAGCTGCCCCGGTGCACCTCAGCTCTGCTCCAGGTGGCAGCAGCCCTGACCCCACCCAAAGCATTGTTCAGGGCCCTGGGAACTTCTCCCTGCCTGGCATCATGGCCCCTCAGCATTTATCACCTGGTCCCACGCTAGGCAGACAGCCTTGTTTATTCACTGCCTGTTAGAACCTAAGCAAGGGGCGAGGGCTCTGCTCTGCTCACTGAAGTGTCCCCGCCATCAACATAGCGCCCTGCCCAAGGAGCCAACAGAGGTGTGAATGAGCAGCTGAGTGCGGCCACTGACAAGCCACCAAGTGTCCACCACTGAGAGGCAAGTGTCCAGCTGAGCGATATGTTCCTTACCCCTACACAGCCGCGAGAGTGCTGGGAAAAGCTACGGGTCTGACTCACACACTGAATCATGACAGGAGAGAGAAATTATACACTTCACAGAGAACAAACCAGAGCTGTCAAATCTGGCATTTCTCCACCCATGGTCTGCAGGGCTCCCACCCCGACTCCCTTTCTTCTGAGGTCCCCAGGAGAGCTGTCTGAAAGACACTGGAAGTCATGCAATGTTCGGATCCATGTTAAGGACAGGCGGCCCCCAGCATTCACACATGGTCCTTGGCTTCCGCTCCACTTGACAGAGGCAAACACACACTTGCAGTGACTGCCTTGGTCTGAGTCTTAAATACAGTACTAGGAGACAAGGCAAGCTTTTACTGAGAAAAAGTGAATTTTTAATTATCTTGTGAATCTACGTAGAAAAACACACACAAGCAATGTACACAACTATAAATTTAAACCTTTTGCACTAAAAAAGAACACAAAAACAACAAACACGAAACCACAGGTATGAACTGTAAACCTGTATTAATTATCAACTAGTCTTAGGGTTAATTCTTAGCAGTAATTCAGGATGCTCCTCCTTGGCAATTGTAATGTTTTAGCACCAAGTGGTCTCCCTCCGAGGTACCAGAAACCACTCTGGTCGCTGTGTAGGGAGACGCTTCGGCACACACGCCCACACGCACCCCGGCCGCTCTCACAGCCGCCCAGACAGGAGGCACATGGCGATGGTGTCAAGGCTGACTCCGGGGCAATGGAAATAAGACAGAGGGCACACAGGTCACACGTCTTTAATGTAGTGCATTCGTAGAAAAAAGGCCAGCTTTCGCTCCCAGGCGTGCTCGCGTCCTCAGACTTTAATATCATGATTTAGAAGATGCAGACGTTATTGCCTAAATATTATTCTATACATTTCCATCAGTGTTCAGGAAAACATTTTAAATTGCTACTTAATTTACACCATAATTACCGGGTTACAGCTTTAGCTCATTGGCAATCTTGGAAGCGATATTTTTGAAAGCTATGGATGTCCCCGAGATCCGCTTAAACCGGACCCCGTTCAGAGACAGTCTCGGCAGCTTGCACACTTCCATCTCCCACTGCACAAGGCTCTCCGCGTGCCCATCCCCATGGACACAGAAGAGCAGGAAGCGCTCCCTCTGCTCGTAGTCGCAGTTATTGGCGTCCAGCACTTTGCGGATTTCCCGCATCATGTCACTGGGATCCATGGAACTAGTGGTTTTCATGCTCCAGGTGAAGCGCAACGAGCGCGGCTTTGCTTCTTTGTTTTCATCCTTCTGCTCAGCAGACACGTTGCGACTGAAATGCACAGTGGCAGGTTTATGTGTAATTGCATGCACACATACACAACCAACCTTTTCTACTTTAGCCAGTTCAAAAATACACCTCATTAACACAACCAGTCTCCCTATTTTTCCTGCAGACTCACATCTGTAACTTGTTTCTTTTTTTTGGGAGAGGTTTTCACTATAGGGCGCGTGCGCTCGCCAGGCAGAGAGAGACAGAGAGACAGAAAGCGAGAAATCACCCCCCAGGGGGGATGGTCACGCTGCAATCCCTTCTCCTCCATTCTCCTCCTGGGATCTTGGGCACGCACACACACGTGCCCGGCGTGAGTTTTAAGCCACCGGGTCCGGGACGCGAACCGCGGTCGACTACATGGGAGTCCAGCGACATAGCCATTACACTAACTGCTGGTTCCCTGTAACTTGTTTCTCTACTGAGACGTAATCATTGATCTACCCTCTGCATCCCACCCTCAAAACTATAAGCCACATATCCAAAAATCTGTTTTGCTGGAAAAATTCTCATCAGCCACCTGTACTGGCTAAAATCTAGAAAATAATTTGCAAAACAGAATTCTAGAGAGCCAGGTGTGGCCGAAGCCTGCCCACACAGCCTGCTCTCCAGCTCGGAGGTGCCACAAGCCCAGCATAGGGAAGGGAGGTGGCGCTGGCCTTGCGCTCTGCTGGCCAGCCTCCTCTCCCTATAACGTCCCATACGAACTGCACTCGTTAAAACATCCACCACGACTGGAAGGTTCTCGGATGACTTGGGACTCAACCTTCACAGCTGAAAATCACTGTCCCTGAAAACAGTCTCAGATGCTGTGCACACAGCTGGGCTGGGGAGGAGGCAGGCTATTCCATCACCTGTACCCACTTCATTATTTTTCCTTCTATTATATTTTGTTAATTTAAACATTCAAGTTTATACCTGTTTTTCTTAGATAACATAACCTTGCTGCTGAAACAGATGGAAAAATAAAGTTACAGCTTGTTTGTGGAATTCAGAGATGATTTGTCCCCTGTGAGGGTTCAGAGCTCGCAGAGGCCCCGAGGCAGCGTCAGTGGAGCTCCAGACACAGGCCTCTAGGGAACCTCACGGCGTCCCAGTGGCCGTCAGCATTTGGCCATTACTACCACAAACGGTTCTTCACATTCTCACGTGTGTATGTGGAGGCATCACTTAAGACAGAGCAACTAAGCCTCTTAGACGCTCAGAGTATGCGTGCTCAAACACGTCCCATCCTAAGGCAGACTCATCGGAGTTAAGGGTGAGGTCACAGGTTTTACCTATAAAACACCATATGGTGTTCCCTGTCACCAACCTGCTAGAGAGAACTCAATTTGGTTCCCATCCCCCAAAACTGATTAGCAGCTTCCCACACATAAAATGCTACGTTAGATACTACCTAGGTTACAACGAGCGCGACCAGACGACTGGAAGGTAAGAACAATAGTGGCACAGGAGGGGTATGGGTAACTGCTACAGGGGTCACAGGAGAGAGCTGCAGCTTTGGGAAATGAGCAAGAGTGAAAGACAGGGCTGGGACAGGAGGGAATGGCTTTCTAAGGGGTGGCAGCTGAGAAAAGCCATGAAGAGCCCATGAAATTTCAACACAATACAATGGTGAGACACAAGAGTGTTTCTGGTTTTTGTTTTTGAGAGGTTTTTGCTATAGGGCGTGTGCACTCACCAGAAAGACAGAGAGAGACAGAGAGGCAGAAAGCGAGAAATGACCCTCCAGGGGGCATGGCCACGCCGCAATCCCTTCTCCTCCATTCTCCTCTCTGGATCTTGGGCACGCACACGCACGCGCCCGGCATGAGTTTAAGCCACTGGGTCTGGGACTCGAACCATGATCGACTATATGGAGTCCAGCAACGTAGCCATTACACTAACTGCTGGTCCTGAGACTTTCTGTTTTGAGCAGAGGGAATGCCATAACCAAGAGCAAGGGCACAAAGTGCAGAATGCATTCAGGGGCACAACTGAGTGCACAGACTGACTGGACCGGGGGCACAGTCACTGGCACTGATGGAACACTTGCTGCAGGCAGGCTTATCCTGGTCTAAGAGGCCAGTCCTATGATGACCTTCTTACTATGGACGGGAAACGAACTAGGACAGCTGGAGCCTACCTCAGGATACCGCCTGGTGCTTATCCCGAGCTGGAGAGCCCGGCTGAGGCGGCCTGCACCACGCCACTTAGGGATGTGACTGGTCAGCCAGTGGAGGCCACTGACGGCTTAATTATTATTATTTTAGAGTTTTTTGCCTTAGGGCACATGTGCTTGCCAGAGAGACAGAGACAGACTCAGTGAGAGGGAAATTAAGAAATCACCCCCAGTGGGGATGGCCACGCCACAATCCCTTGTCCTTCATTCTCCTCTTGGGATCTTGGGCACACATGCATACACGCCTGGTCTGAGTTTCAAGCCACTGGGTTCAGGACTTGAACCACAGTAGGCCATGCCAGAGTCCAGTGACGTAACTGCTATGCCATCTGCTGGCCCCAGTCACTGATGGTTTTCATTCAGAAGAATCTGATCAGGCCACCTTTAAACTAGTAGTTAAGGGAGTTAGATCCCATATGGCCTACTGTGGTTCAGAGGCTTGAAAAACATACTCGGTTGGGGTCAGCAGGTGGTGTGATGGTTAAGGTGCTGGACATTCTCATACTGCTGACTGAGATTCGAGTCCGAGACCTGGCAGCTGGCTTTCTTGCCACCCCTCTCTGGTGAATTAAACTAACAATAAATAATGAAAATAAATCTTAAAAGAAAGAAAAAAGAAAAAGAAAAGCAGGTGGGCATATGTGTGTGTGTGTCAAATCTAAATAGGAAGAAAAGATGGAGGTGGGGGCCAGCAGGTGGCGTGGTGGTTAAAGCACTGGACTCCCACATGGCTGACTACGGTTTGAGTCCTAGACCTGGCAGCTTACTTTCTCATGTTCCCTCTTTCTCTCTCATCTTTCTGATAATCAATGAGCCTTATAGCAAAATTTTAATAATAATAATACACTAAATAAATAAATAAATATGGAGGTGAAGGGATTGAGGCATGACCATGATCCATGGGGTAGGGGTGGGGGTGGGGGTGCTTTCTCCCTTCCTCCCTCGCTCCCTCCCTCCTTCTTTTCCTTCCTACCTCCTTCCCTCCCTCCCCTCTTCCTCTCTTCCTCTCTTCTTCTTCTCTCTCTCTCTCTCTCTCTCTAAGCTATGTGCCCTCTCTGGCAATACAAACAAACAAAAGAACACAAGTGGAAAATCAAGAACTATAGAGATACAGGGACCTGAGCCTATCTGGTTACCCCCGACAGTATCCGTGCAATAACTGCTATACAAAATTGAAAAGCAGAACCGCTGACTCTATGGTGATCATTAAAAAAAAAAAAGTCTAGTATGAAACACGAAAATTTAGGGCTGGCAGGTGGTATGGTGGATAAGGCAAAGGAATCCCACAGGGGTGATGGCAGATTGAGTCCCAGACCTGGTGCTTGCTTTCTCACTTCCCCCCTCTCTCTATCTCCCACTGGTGAGCACACGTGCCCTATAGCAAACTTAAAAATAATAATAATGATAAAAAAAAAGAAAAACAAAAAGCTCTACAATATTTCTGGTTTTATTCCTGAAGAACAGAACCATGTTAGGAATCAGTGACGGGTCAGTCTCTCCGGGCTCTATTGCCAACCCCAGACCTCCAATCCCTGGTGGCAAGGAGGCAGAAAGCACTGCCCTGTCTCTAATACACAAACACAAATGGAAAGCCAAGGCCTAGCTGGGGCCAGGAGGCTTTAGAGACACATGGGTGCCCTCTGATGGCCACCAGGCGTGGTGCAGCCTCGCTGGCCCGGGCCCAGTCACAGAAGCCAAGCAGCCCTGTCAGCATACCCTGGCAAGGCCAGCTCCCTCTCTGTCTGACCCAACTTACAGTTCACTAAGCCCTCCTACAGGGACAGCAAGGATAGGATGCAGAACATTAAGAAACAGCATTGCCTCAGCCACAAAAGCAAGAACAGTTTCAGTAAAAATTGGTTCCCTCACCTTGATCCCTCATATCTCCCGTTCCTCTCATATTCAGTTGGAAGCCTTAATGAACAGAATGTAGAAGCAAAGAGAAGTGGGAAAGAGAAAAAAAAATCTTACATACCAGTACATGATCACCCACATATCAACACATCATCATAAAACAACAAATCTAACGCATGCTTTGGTCACCAGTTTGGCTTGTTTAACCTTCTTGCTGAGCTGGGCTCAGCCAGCTCCCGGTGTTTCCATGAGGGCTGCAGCTGTGTAGGCAGGCTCATGTCACTGTGCCTGTCTGCCCGTGTCCCCCTCTCCCCACAACAGGCATT